CCGCCCCATCACCGTTCTTCAGATGGGCTGCTGGTACCACCGCTCGCAAGGATTCTGTCAAGAAGAAGAAGTAAGATTGAAACACATAGAAACAAAGCAGTTGCAATTGCAGCGGTGGTATATTGCGATCGATCCCACGGCACACCCTGTGTTGTGTTCCTCGTTCGCGCCTTGTTTGTCATCGTGTACATGCGCTTGGCTGGTCTTACGTCTCTTAGCCGTTTCCTCCGTGCTTCCTTCGCTCAGCTATGCACATGCTGTGGCAGCGTCAGGAACAGCGTGTTTTTGCTTTGCAAATTATTGTATGTGGACTTGGGACTGTTTGTTTATGATTGTGCAGAAAAGCTCAGATATACCATGGTCGTTTAGCGTTGTACATTTCGTATTGCGTATCGCTTTGGCTTCTGGAATACGCCTTCTGCTTCGGCGTTGTGCTCAAGTTTGATTCGTCCTTTTGCAATCGCAAACGAACGCACGGACGACGGACTGGTGATTTTGATTATCGCGTGCTGGGACTGATGAAAGGTGACGAGAATATGAGAAATGGATCTATACAAACGAAAGCGCATGTTCTCGCTCCCATTGCACCGTGACCGGGAATATACGCTTGAAATAAGAGCAACATCACAACGTTGCCCAGATAGGCGTATTGAATAATGTCGAACTAATATATAGCCGCCCGGAAAGTCCACCAGATCGCTTTCAAAGCTGCTCTTCGCAACCCCGCTCATTCCGATCTCCTAGTTTTGGAAGAATTTCTAGCAACAGACGCAAAGGTATACATGGTCATGACACCAGAGCGGAGCTCCAGAATGTTCATAGCCATGAAGTCGGCTATGAACATGTTGGTTGTGATGGGGAAAGTCCTGGAGCACCAGATACAAGGAGTCAAGAAAGACAAGCCAGGACTTGCGGAGAGAAGGAGCAAGTGGGACCAGGACCGCAAAACGCAGAGTGGAGGAGAGAAGCAGAGGCCAGACAACCGAAGGCGATGACGAGAGGTTGGGATTTGGAACGGTGTAGCGTGGCGAAGGGCAGGACACGTGAAGACTGCAGGTGTCCACTAGCGGGGGTGTGAGGCAACGCAGGCTGTTCTATTTGCAGCATTCCAGAAGCATGTATCACGCATCTAGGTAGGTAGCATCGGCGACCAAATCTTGGAACCGACAGGTAGCCAGAAAAAGCTTGTTTGCTTAATTACTTCTGCCCGGTATTGTTTCTGCGGGGTACCTTACCGTACCAAGCTTCCGGAAGGCAGGCTCCGCCCCTGAGCTACCAGTCGTGCGCGACACTTCTACCACATTCCGGGCACACCTTTACGCTCGAGCAACATGTTTTTTCCCGATTCTGCGTCTCCACTCGTGTTTCTTGTCGCGAGAATCGTTTCTGCAGCTGCATCATGTAAAGGAGGCGCCTCCGTCCGTGACGTTCGGATGTGGAGCTGAATCTCCCTTGCACAACATGCAGAAAGCGACCCTGGCGCTGATCACTTCCTTTCTTGCCTACCGCGTGCGGCAAAGCAACAGTGTGATGTTATTTTTTGAGGCTGCTCAACAAACCGATGTCTGAGGCATAGCTTCTCGTCGCTAAGGACGCGAGCCAGCCACGGGGATGCGCACGCACGATGACAGCACGAACGCCCCTAGACCTACCGTGTTACCACAAAGGCATGGGCCAGTAGACGGGCATATAATCTGCAGAGGTCTGCACGTCGGAAACGGCACGCTCGTTCCATTTCGTCCTGCTCAATATGAAGTGGACTTCTTCTTTAACGCTTGGTGCTGCCGTCTTGGTCACCTTCTCCACAGCGCAGGATAACACGATCAACGACCGCCAGCCCACAGTGAGTGCACCGCATGAAAACCCGTGGAAGACCCTTTCCGAGGAGGAAGCTGCTAGTGTCAATGAACTTCTCCAAGAGCGAATGAGCTTGACTGGCAACCAAGGATCTAGCCGTGATAGTTACGTGTAAGTCGACCATTGCTAGACACCTCCCACTCGCCGGACACTAATGCGATATCAGAGTACAGCTCGCTCTTCTTCATCCCAACAAGACGGATACTCTTCCCTTCCTTGACAGCAATGCTACGGCTCCAAAGCGCTATGCGCGAGCTACTGTTCAAAGCGGTACCACCAACTCGACAGACAAGCACTGGCAAGAGTACATGGTGGGACCATTGCCAGCAACCAATGCGACTGCGGTCGAACCGTTGACTTTCCCGTTCCAAAACTCCCAACCAGGTCGAACACAAATGCATCCCATGTATTCACCCAGCGACGCGACGAGTTTCTTTACGAGGTTCGCGACAGAGACTGAGGATATCTCAATGCAATTGTTCAACACTGTGAGTGGAAGCCAGCCACAACATACAACAGCAAAGGCTTACATGCATGCAGACTTTTCTTACTGGTAGCATTGGTCTTAGATTTGGAAGCCCGTTCTGGGATGAAGAGGGCCGAACCATCTCCTGGGCAGGAGCATTTGCGGACCCTGGCACCAATCTCAGCAGTGTTACCGTCGAGCCACTCGGATTCGCTGTGAAATTTGACTTGACCGGACCAATCTCGGATACCTGGAAAGCTGTCGGTTGGTACTCGTATGGCAAATTTTATGCCAGCACAGAAGAGTTCCGTGCCGCAATTAACGCTCCCGACTATGAGACGCCACCACCAAACGTACTGGGAAACTGGACGTCTACCGACAGGCAGGGAACGCCCATGCCTTTGGACAACCTACCGCCGCCGGCTTCTGTCGCTGAGGGCGACCAGCGATTCAAGATCGATACGGAAGAGGGATATATATCCTGGATGGACTTCACCCTCTATCATGCCGTCTCTCAGGACCTTGGCCTGTCGTTGTTTGACATCAAATACAAAGGCAGACGCATCATTTACGAGTTGTCCTTGCAGGAGGCTCTGACATCATACTCCGGCTCCGACCCTTTCCAATCACAAGCGACCTTCTTCGATACCACGAGTGGTATGGGATCGACCTTGCAGCCTCTTGTCAGAGGCTATGACTGCCCTAGTCATGCTACATACCTACCTGCAACATGGACAGAAGGCGACACGGTCAAGACACAAGCCGACGCTATATGTTTGTTCGAATTTGACGCGGGCTACCCAATCCGTCGCCATTCCTTTTCACCATCCGCGCCACACACTAGCGTAGCAAAGAACATCCAGTTTGTCATGCGCACGGTAGCCACAGTGGGCAACTACGACTTCCTCATCGACTACAGCTTCTTCTACGATGGCGGTATCGAGGTTTCTTCACGCTTTTCTGGATACATTGCCGCTGCTTACTGGGAGGATCAGCCTGAGTACGGCTTCCATATACACGACTTCCTTTCGGGTAGCTCGCACGACCACACCCTCACTTTCAAGGTCGATCTTGACATCAACGGCAGGAAGAACAGTGTACAAAAACTACAGTTTGTGCCGACTTCGACAGCGTATCCTTGGAGCCAGGGTCGCGTATACAATACATTCAAGGCTGAGCGATCTTGGGTAGCCGACGAGAGCGAGTCCATGATCAATTGGGCCGAGAACGATAACGTGTTGTACGCCATTGTCAATAGGGACACACCGAACCCGTATGGCGAGTACCCAGGTTACAGAATCAAAAGATCTGCCGGCACCATCCACCTTACACAAACAAACTCGACAAACACTGGCAAGACAGGTGCCTTTGTGACTCACGACTTCTATGTCACACAGCAAAAGGACACTGAGCCAAGGGCTGCGGATGCCAATAACCAGTTCTCCAAGGACGATCCGCTTGTCAATTTTGAGACTTTCTTTGACGACGAGAGTCTGGATCAAGAAGATTTGTTCGTAAACCCACCTCCTTTCTCCATCTATTGTTGATACTGCGCCCCGTAATATATCAATTACTAACAGAACACAGAGTGCTTTGGTTCAACCTCGGCATGCACCATCTTCCGCACACCGGCGACTTGCCCAATACTATGTTCAGCTCTGCTCATTCGGCCATGAGGTTCGAACCGCTCAATTACCTTGTAGGCGATCCCTCTGTCTCGAGCAACCAGCAGGTCAGGATTGAATACGATGCAGAAGGTGCTGTCCTGAATGTGGATGAGTTCGGCAAAATGGCTGCCAACAAATCCTGCATTTGATTTACTTCTACATGGATGTCTACATACTGTTGATCGCGCAACATTCCGTCATTACTGTTCATGGTTCTCATTATTCAAAAGTTCTACTACAAGCTGATACCCGCTCTGAAGTGCTTCCGTCATGGTTCCAAGCTGTGATAAACGTGATGAAAGGTGGCTTTTTGTAATTATCTAGCTCTCGCCCTAACTCCCAATCAGATCATGACTGCTTCAAATATGAGGGGTACATCTTTCATCGGAACGCCTTCTCGTATACGTACATGCGAGAACAACTTGATGCGGGTAAAATGAAATGTGCCGCCCACAGGATCCAGGCCCTCGCCTTCCAACCCTTCGCCCTCAACAATGAGTCGGACTCGCTTATAAGTCCTGCTACGATCACATGTAGGTTTCATTCCGCGGACGATGCCTTATTGCATTTCCCAACGTGTCATCGCTGAGTACATCATAGACCGATACGTAATACATGTGCAGCACCCGAATTGGATAAGCGCAAAGTCCGTGCGGACGACGTGTCATGCGCATCCGTGGTGCCCGCAATCAGGTGTTTTCGATCGAAGCCGTGCACACTTCTTCAATAACGAGGCAGTTTTGTAAACTTTGTGATTGTCGCTACTAGCATTACAAAGCGATGTTCGTCTCAATTAGATTTCGTGAAGCTTTACAACAACTAGTATGCCCTGTCTGTGCTTGACAAGACGACTACATTCACTTTGGAGCCTTTCTCATCGCACACCTCTTGTTCCAAATATTAATCTTCAACAGTCCGTCTGCTTGGAAGGTCGGACTTCCGGATATCTGTGCATAAAACCACGGTACAGTGCAATGCGCCCTGTACTTTCTATCTGCCCATTGCAATCTTCAGGACACACTCAGCGGCTTGACGTACTGTTTCCAGATGTCTAAGAACGCCATCCTGTCCTTCCTGCTCTGGAACTTGATCTCTAACGCCGAATACCCAAACCGATTCAGATTAGCAGCCCTCGAGAAACCACCACCACCTCCCGATATATCTTTCAAAGGAATCGGCGAGCCGCTCAACGACCCTGAAGTAACGCTGTCTGATCGAGAAAACCGTAGCATTTCCATAGAGTCGTTGCGTTTCTTGCGAGACGGATTCGCTGCTTCGGAATCCGTCTGTGTGGATGACTTGCGGCGTTTGAAAAGCTTATCAGTCGCCCAACGCGGTGCGTCTTTTGAGAAGAGAAGCGTAAGCTTGTCACTGTCTTTCTTATAGACCGACTCCGTGAGCCATTCGAATGCGTAGTGCGGCTCCTCGACCCAGTGCCCGTCCTCTTCCAATGCGCTCGTGTAAAACAGCAGGATCAAGACCTCAGACGTAACGAGCCCACCATCCGCTAGATGCGTCTCGGTACGCCGCCACAGCCGCAAATTTCTTCCACGACATTCAGTCGGATTGTGATCCGAGGATATGCTCAATATGGGTCGATCAAATTCGAGATTAGCAGAGTCGGCACCGTTGTTGGTGTACAACAAGGTCTGGAATCTGTTTGCTGATTCGTGGCCAATGAACGTGTACTTAATGTCAACATACTGCTTGTTGAGTTTCCCGAACGAGCTGCGCGGAAAATCGACAGATACTGCACCGTCAACATACGTGGTAGTCAAGGGTATCGCTGGCCCGGTAGCAGGAAAGTGCTGTTCAGTCCATGTTCGAAGCTTCCCGTCTTGGCTAGAGTGATAGACTGTTCGCAGCGAGATGCCAGTATCTTCTCGATATCGCCACCGAACCTCGCACTCGTGATTTTCGGATCCGTACTTCAGAGACTTTCGTTCGACCTGAACGTTGCGACATATTCGCTTCCAGTCGAGTGCAGCGTCTCCTAATGCCATGGTTGCCAGGGATGTGCGCGAGAGACTGCGCCGCAAAGTGGGAGATAAGGGCTTCTCTGAGGCAGTACCCGTTGACGACGGTGATGCGGGCGAAGAGCTTTCGCTACAGGCAACTGTGGAACTAAAAGGTATCCTATTAGGCTCAAGCGATGTCGGTCTAGGCGACTGCGACCAATCGACTGATCCAAAGTAATCTGGAGACGATGGCTGTAGACTCAAGGTCGGGCGGTTGCTGCCCGTGGAGTCACTCAAGCTGTCTTGGCCAAACATGGTGAAGTTCCCGGAGTGATCTGTCTCGAGGGTATAGGTTCGCAATGGAGCTGGTGGCATGTTGCGGACCTGCTGCTTCATCGCGTCGCTTGGGACCAAGTGTGAGCGTTTCTCCGCCGTAGCTCGCTTTGCGCGATTCTCCTCGATGAAAATCGCGTCATCGACCTGCCGTCTCAGATGATATAGTACAGCAGCTGTCTGAACATCACCAGTAGAAAACGTAGCAGGTGTGTCTCCCAGAGAAAGAGGCCGCGATAGTCCCGCTTCTTGAGCAACACGTTCGTCCTCACTTTGCAGCCATCGATCAAAGATTTTCCATTCGCTGAACAACGGGTGTTCGTCGGAAGACGCGAGTGCCAGTGGTGCGCGGTTGCTTGGAACACTAAGAGTGTTTGTGGAGTAAGCGCGGCCGCCTAGATTTACTGTACGAGACGGCGCAGCGTCGAGAAGACGCTGAGTCTGCTTGGTTGCCTCGAGATGTAGCCGCCTAACGACGGTCAGCGACTGTTGTTTCGAGTACGAAAGAGGCTTACAATTGCAGAAAGGAAATGCACATGTTCAGCGCTTGGTAATGGCCGCTGATCTGTTTCCTCAGCCCATCGATCTCCTTTTCCATCCCGATGTATCTGATCGTGAAGATGAACTTCTTGACGGTCATCTTCTTATCGACGAGATGTTCAGCGTATGGCTCCAGGGTCTTTTCACACTTCTTCAGCGTGTCTTCGAAATCCTGGACAGGGAATGCTGCGCGTTGTTATCTCGCGTCAGTGCATGCCGCAAATGTAGTACACAGATGAACGCTCACGTAGCGGCTGGCCATATTGTTTCATTAGCTCGCCCAGCTCTTTGAGACAGCCATGGAATGTGGTGAATTCCTTAACAAGCCCACTGACTTGCGCTTCCGAATTTTCGTTGGCATCTAGTGGCAATGATGAGCGAGGTGGTCCCTGATGACTGCCACCAGAGGGGGGTAGCTGGCGCCATACCTTTGAACGCAAGATATACACGGGTCGAAATCTCCAACAATTTCAGAACATCGGACGGACTGCACCCAACCTTGGAAAGGACATATTCGTAGGGTTGCGCCGCGCTCAAGCGCAACAGAGTTTGTGTAAAGACTGCTCATACGTTATAGAACTGTTGGTGCACAGTAGGGACAATCATCGTCCAAGCATCAGGCTTCCATGAAAAGGACAAGCAGGTGTAGTAAGAACCACCTGAGCTTACGGCGTCCGATAGAGCTAGCCTAAGGTAGACCGCTCCGGCATCTGGGGGGTGGCTCACGGCGCTGCTGACATCCTGCTACCGCTCAGGCACGCAAACTCGTCGAAGCCTTCTACTGTCGGCAGCAATCAGGGCAGCCCAGGGCAGCCATGAGCTTATCCAAAGGTGGCGGACAGCTCGTGTTTGTGCATGTGGCGGTATTAGAATGGTACGCCTAATTCGGCATAGTAGCTTTTGGCGTTCAATGAGGTTGCGAAGATTAACACGTGGGGGAGCGAACGGCCATGGTCGACTACCAGACGGGCCAGCCAACTCCAGGGCTCGATTCAGCCACGCGTGGCTTTCCCTTGGAATCTCGGAACATGTTTTGATGCAGCCTGCACGAACTCACAAGGAACCGGATTTCATAAAGCAAGATGCTGTTGCCCACTCATCGCAGCGTTCGCAGCTGAACGACCTCGGAAGCATCGCAAACGGGAGGAGCCGGAGAATGCACCATGATTTAGACATCAGCAGCAACCACACATTCCAAAGGACTCCAGTGATGAAGGCCTGGACGCTTGGATCGCGGCAATGAACGCCACCAAGCCTGACTTCGGCGAACCAAACGAGATTGGATGCGCTGATTGAGAACGCACGAATAGCGCCAGTTCGCATGCGTCCTCTTCTGTTGACCGGTTTGCCTTGTGGTATCGGGCTATGCACGCTGTCTGAAATCTGCCTTCGGTAGTCCGTGTCATGGTGGAGGCTGAAGCTTTGCGCATTCACAATATGAAAGATGCTGCCCCAAGGCGGTTCTGCACGACAGACCCCGTTACATACTGACTATTGCCGAAACCCTCGCACGTAGGTACAACTACCATACTGTTACAGTTCTGTCACCCCTATCGCTACAATGGGCCTCCGTAAATGGATCATGCGTCCAATGAGAGGCCATCAAGTTGGGGTGCCGGACATAACAACAGGCGGGAGCGGTATACCGGTAGGTTTCCCTCTGCCACTCGTAGTAGTCCTAGGATCGATCTTCTCTCGCTAATCCGATGGACAGGAGATAAGGCGTCGACGGTGGACTCTCGCGACGATTGATTCAGCGCCCTTCCAAGTCTGGGTAGTAGTAGTAGCTGGGATCGGCTTCCTAACAGATTCGTTCGGCCTTTTTGCTTTGAATGTCGTTACCCCCATGCTCGGTTATGTCTACTGGCCTAATCGCAACGAAGGCGGTATACCCTCGGTGCCGTCCTCTGTCAAGACAGCCATGATGTGTTCCACACTAGCGGGTACAATGGTCGGCCAGATAGGATTCGGCTTCGCGGCAGACATATTGGGCCGACGAAAAATGTATGGTCTTGAGCTGGTAATCGTCATCGTTGGCACAATGCTGCTGCTCATGAGTTCGAACGGGGAGAAGAACAGCATGGCAATTGGAGGATGGCTGATCACCTGGCGAGCGATCATGGGTAAGAAGCGAATTGATGTACGAATGCATCGTAAGACTGACGATAACTAGGGATCGGTATCGGGGCGGACTACCCTTTGAGTGCTGTAGGTATTGTTTCCAACGTGACCGTGCTGATGCTAATCGTGGGTTCAGGTCATTACTGCCGAGTTCGCACCTCGCAAACATCGTGCGCGAATGTTGAGCTGGGTTTTCTTCGCCCAACCTGTTGGACAGCTGCTCGCCAATGTTCTATCACTTGCTGCAGTGGAGTCGTACAAGCCATGGATCAAGGAGGCCACGCAGTCTTGTCAGCCTGCCGACTTGGAGTGCTTCCGAGCTATCGATCGACTTTGGAGGCTCGTAGTTGGGATCGGCATTGTGCCGGCTCTCATCGCTCTGCTGTTTCGATTCACGATACCAGAGAGTCCGAGGTATACGCTGGACATCTTGCAAAACACAAAAAGCACCCTCGAAGATACGGCGAACTACTTTGGTGCGCCCGGAACAGACCCCGAACATGGCGAGAGGGAACTGCTAGATCTGGCTGCAACACAGGAAGTTTCGAGGCCTGTATCGAGGCAATCGACCAACGCTTCGGTGATTGCACCCGACGAGGAGATTGAGAGCGACAGTGACTCCGGACACCGACTCAGTGACGTACATCTTCGTCCCGCCGCAGCGCCTCGCGGCCGGCTTCCTCCAGGCGACCCGGATTTTGTTCCTCCACTTGCCTCGTGGGCCGACGCAAAACAATTCTTTATAGCGGAGAAAAACTGGCAGTACCTTCTAGGAACGTCGTTGGCCTGGCTGTTTCTCGATTTCGCGTGTAGGTACACTGCCAGACCACTGCGGTAAAACCACTAACTTTGAGACAGTCTATGGGTTGGGCCTCTCTTCACCAGAAATTGTCAGCCACATCTGGCAGGGAAACAACAACAGCAGATCTTCCGTCTACCAGACGTTGAGTGATAATAGCAAACACACCCTGGTGATGGTTTCCATAGGGACAGTTGTCGGCGGCCTGCTAATGATCAAGATTGTCAAGCATGCTTCGCCAAAAGTGATTCAGTTCTGGGGGTTCTTGGTTCTATTCGTTCTCTTCATCGTAACCGGAAGTGCTTGGACCAACCTACTCGACAGCAGTCGCTCGGGACTCATTGTGCTTTACGTGCTCAGCCACATCGCCTTCAACCTGGGACCGAATGTGACGACTTTTAGTAAGTGATATCCGTGTGCGACCTGTTGTGAAACATCTACTAATTTCGTGCATCAAGTTATCCCTGCCGAGATATTCCCTACGAGGTACCGGTGCACCTGCCACGGCATAGCTGCGGCTAGTGGCAAACTCGGGTGAGGACAAACCGCGGAAGAACTGCATATGAGACATTTACTGACTTCGAAAACTCGCACCATAGGTCTTGGGTGGTGCAAGTCTTTCTGGCATATGCATTCCAATCCGACAAATCCGAACCCACAAGCGATTTTGAATGGGAACGCAAGAATTTCGGACATATCCTGCAAGTAATGAGCGCTTTCATGCTAGCAGGTGCCGTAACAACATATTTCTTGGTCCCGGAAACAAGAGACCACGATAACAAGAGTCGGACACTGGAGGTTTTGGCGTGTGGCAAGAAGGTTATCGATGAGCTGAACCGCCAGCGGAAGAAGGAAGATGAAGACGACTGAGATGGATTGTACCAGAATGAACTTGATGAAGTTAGGGAAGATACGGTAGTCGGTTGCAGATGATGAAGCAATGGACAAGCGTAGTAGCGTAGTCGGCTGAATGTTGATGATGCGGTACCCAGCCACCCGGCCCCACATCCCTCCAGGGCTCGTCAATGACGCAGGAGGCACGTTTGGCGCTAATTTCGTCCGGAGCTACGCAGCTTCTTCTGACCCTCACGTGCTGCTATCTTGAGTACCCACCATTGCGAAGCCTGGGCCCCGAAGACGATGGTGTGCTTCCTTCCATCAGATTCCATCGGAGGATGCTAGGAAAATGACACGGACATGTCTCCTTCTCTCAGTCAGGACGTTACGGGACCGTCCGGGAGGGGGATATAAGAGAAGAGGCTTGATGGGCAATGTCCGAGATGTTGCATAATGAATGATAGTAGAACAAAAAGATGACTTGGGGGAACCGATAGCTGCCTGCCCCTGTCGTACAGCTCTTCGAAGCGCCTTCGCGTCTATTGCCAAAGCAAGGTGATTTTCTTCCACCATGGCCCTTTCATATTCATTGTTCGCGCCGGCACCTCCTCAGCAAGCACCTGATCCATACCCGTCTTCAGATCTACCTCTGCTGGATCATAAGCCCAACTATCGCTCCAGGCCCAAATCCGATGCCCCCCATAGAACAGGAAGAACATGGGAATACCCACGTACGCAGTAAAGAAAGAGCTAACGTCCCACTTCTCAGGCCAGAAGACATCGAACCCGTTGACCAAACAGAGAATTGTAAAGCTGATGATGACGCACCAAGCACCCCACTTGTTCACCGGTGAGCGATATGGAAGATCCGTGATGTTTTGCGTTTCGCAGGCTTTCCGGAAGCGCAGAAAGATGATGCCGCAGCAGATCCAGGAGATGAATCCAGACGTGTTTGTTAAATTCACGAACCAGTTAAAGACGACCGCACTCTCGCTGCCTACGTTTAGGTATGCCAGAACGCAGAACAACGAAGAGGCAGTAACAGCCCAATACGGTACACCGGACTTGGTGCATGCTTTGAAGACGGAAGGTGCGTTGCCAGACAGGGCGAGCGCGTATAGCGAGCGCGAGGACAAAAATAGGAAGGAGTTTCCGGACGACCATGCACTGATGATGATACCTGCGTTGATGATGCTGTCCAGCACGGGGATGCCAGCGTTCTTAATTCCCGCAACAAAGGGCGACGAGCCAGCTCCAGAACCACCAGACGTAATGATGGGGTCGTCGGAGGGGCAAATGATTCCGATAGCCAGTACGCTGCCAACATAGAAGAAGAGTAGGCGGTATATGTATCTGCGTGCCGCAGTAGGCAAGTTGCGACGCGGTGACTGCATCTCGCCACCTGTTGCAACGAGAAGCTCGGGAGCAAACGTGAAGGGGAACTAGACATGAGGGTCAGACAAGTAGATATAAGGCTTCGCCGGAAGCATGCTTACAGCAGAGAGTACCATAGTGGATAAGAGGGCCACAAATCGCCCAGCATTTCCTTCTTCTAGATACGTATTCGCCGCGCCAGGGTTCTTCCAGTACCGGAAGCCGAGTCGGTCATGCTGTGGACCGCCGCCTTTAAGATAAATGTATAAAGTCAGTGGTTGTATCATACGCAGTTTGTGCAGGGGTATTACTAACCCCAAAACAAAACAAATGACAGAATCAGGAGCCCTAAAATCATGATAACCTTTGTTCCGGCAAACCAGAACTCTGTCTCGCCGTAGAACCTGACTGGAAAGCAGTTCAGTCCAACGATGACAATGATCATGACTGTGATCCACACTGCGATGTTCACGGGCGGGTTCCAATACTCAATGACCAACCCGGCTGCCGTGATTTCGTAAGGCACAAGGATACCGAGCGAGTAGAAGTATAGCCAACCCAGGCCGAACCCCATAGAGCGCGACACATAGCGGTAACCGAAAAGGTTCTGAAGGTACAAGGTCAGTCGTGTGTCACATGCCTTGGGTACGGCCACAAGTTACCATGGAAGACCCCGGGGTCGGCAGATAGGCCGCGACTTCAATGATACCCGCAACGGTACAAAAGATCAAGAACGACATGGCGATGTACGTGGACAGGATGAAGGCCGGGCCGCCACGAGCGAGGGTTTGGCCTGAGCCGACAAAGAGCCCAGTACCTATTGTGCCACCCAACGCAATCATTTGAGCATGTCTACGTTCCGTCAGTCTTTGAGGATATAGGGTATCAAGAGGGGTCTACTGACCGTGACTTCAGACCACGCTGGGTAGTCTCATAACGCTCGTCGAATATCTCTCCCGCAATAATCTCTGGATCGACCGCGGAGCTTTTCCTGCGACTCGCCGTATGCGACTTGCGAACATGGCCAATGCCATAGTCCACGCTCTGTTCTCCGATAGCCGAGTCTTCTGCCTTCTTCTCGGACATGACTGCTTTTGGGACTCTGACGGTAAACAATCAGTCAAGAAGTAGAAAAGGGAGTTGAATTGTAGATAAGAGTCTTGCATGCAGTCGGATCAAGTAAACCCGGTCAGCATGCTAGCCGTGTAACCAAGGAATGCTTGTCCAGCTGCGATACGTAGTCCCACGCGGATTCACCAAGCCGGACATGATAACCCCAGATGAACGCTGATATGGCTTTCTCCATACGCTCACGTCAAGCCGCGGACGATGGTCCGGTGGAACGAGTCGAGACTGGCAAGGATACGAACCAGGGCTGAAGATAGGCGCCGATAAGGACAACGGCAAGAGAGTACAAGAGCTGATAAGCTTCTTCAGTGTTCATAGACGAGCTAGGCTACTTGTAGAGATGTTCGATTCCATCTGCACATCCATGGGTGCAGCATGGAACTGCGCAGCTGCGTAGAAGTGCTTGTGTGCAGGTGGTCTCGGAAGGCACGACAAACACGCTCGCACATAGAACATGCCCAGGTGTGCTTGGCGAGCCTTACATCTTGGTATCGAATCAGGAATTGGAGTACGAGATATAGGCCTACAAGAAGTAGTGATGCACCAGGGATGCCCACTAACACGGCGTGTTGTTATCGCAATCGTCCGAACAGCGCCGTCCAAGCCTGTTTCGGCTAGCAATCCATCTAGCTGAGAGAGGCAGCTACGGTTGTCATCATTCCGCCATACATGTTCCAAGCGTAGGCAACACGCTTAAGTTTCGGAATATGAGTGATGTAGAGCAGCTGTCGTAAACGCGACCAGCAAGATTAGCGCACTTTCCGCCAAGGGCTTTTCGCATGTGGAGTAGACGGGCCAAGGTACGATGGCTATTGAGCACCATGCCAAGAAGGTGTTACTGCATGGATATGGGAGTTGCTACAAGATTTCTACCTAGCTACATCTCGAGTCCACGGGTGGTGTTCTAGGTGTCGGGATAGACAGGCGTGTCGGAGACTCTGTGACCGATGCAACCCGAGTGTCTTTGGTGTATTCCTGCAAGAGTATGACTTGTTTCACGACACAACTTGATGGTTTGTGACTACAATAAACATCTCACGTTACTGTCTGGCATCAACTGACAACCTCCTGGCCTCACCATGTCAATTCCTTCTGCGGTCTCTTGACCATGTCTGGAGGTACACAACCCCACGAGCATACGCTAACTCTCAGTGGAAGAAAGTCACCTGAGCCCCGACTCCAGAATTCAACCCACTCGGCGCGTGCCACAACGTAATGCTTGCGACAGGCATGGCACTCGCGGAAGAGACCGTATCCGTCGGCAGCGTTCGCTTCTGCTCGCGAGAGAATGGCTTCCACCATGGGGAGAGCACACGGGCTGAGGTAGTCGCGTATTTTGTGGGGCTCCAAAGAGTGAAGTGCCATATGCAGGGTCGTTGTGAAGAGGGAGGAAACTTTGCTTGTGCACGGAGGGACGAACCACGGTGAGGAAGGTAGGCCGTATGTACCCTGATTCGTCTCGATGATGACCGGGTAGTGTTCCTGGTCGGAAGTAGGGAGCTTTGGAGAGCCCTTGAGAAGCTTGCCATCCTGCCCATAGTAAGAAACCAGAGTCCGAGCAATGTACCGTGGCGCGTGGGCAACGGCATCGCCCTCTACTAAAGCCTCTAGGCGCAACGAAGGGTGGTGCGGATAGAAGCCAACATCTTCAGCGGCGCACTCTCGGGCGTCGTCTGCACCGCCAAAAGAGTTGGCCCAGGACTCGAAATAGCGGATGCGCCAGACAGCCTGGTCGCGATCTTGGCACGTTCCCAGCGTTGGATAGAGATGAGCGAGCTGCTTATTTGCGTCTTCTCGTACGTCATCGAGGTGGCGAAGGGGCCCTTGGTGTTGCTTCTGGTAGTCGGTGAGGGAGAAGCGGCGGAAGGACATTGGCTGGAGCAGATCGGTACCCATGAGAGTGAGGCGGGTCATGTTTCCATGTGGGGCAAGAAGAGTGACGATGTCGAAGGGGAGGTAGTGAAGCTTGTTGAGGGATACATCGAGGGCCTCGAGCTTGCGCAGGCGGCTGATTTGCTGGGGAAGCTCGTCGATGTCGTTCTGGCGCAGATAGAGGCCAGTGAGATCGTCGAGGTGGAACAAAGCGGGCACGAGGCGACGGAGCTTGTTCTTGCCGAGGTTGACGTGGAGCCTGGGGAGCAGAGAGCGGTACTGGCCCGCCGTGGGGAGCTCGTTGTCGTAGACGGGAGGGTGGCTGATGACGGAATTGAGCTCGCCAATGCGTGTGATGTCGCGGTCGGCGAGGTCGAGGCCAACGAGGTCGTACGACTCGCGGTCCGCGGCAAGGCCGTCGTCGATGTGCCGGTTGAAGACGGCCGCTGGAGCGGCGTGTCTCGCCACGTCGACGTCGACGTCCATGGCCTCATCGTCGGCAGCTCGCGCGTGGAGCGAGCGGGGGAGCGAGACGGCGGCGCGGAGAGAGGCTGGCGGCATGTACGGGGGCAGGGGCAGGTCATCGCAGCTGCTGGTCGCGTCGCTGAGCATGTAGATGCCCGAGTCCAAGTTGCGCGCGAACTTGGTCTTCTTGACTT